TTTTAAATGCGATTTCCCCTAAAAGTATTTCTATGGGTTTCAACTGATTACGCGCGAGCAGTGGACCCCCCACCTGCCCCCTCTCTCACCACCCGTACTCCAAACTCCTCCCGGCGGTGCGTCCTCGGCGCAATCCTGGCCGCGCTCTGCTTCCCCCGCGCTGCTCTCCACCCTCCCCGAACACGACCCGTCCTGGGCACGTCCCACCTGCGGTGCGGTGTGAACCTCCCTCCCGCGGCGGCCCGCAGCACCCCCAACTCTCTGTGTAGGTGTCAAGCCGCAATCAGCAATTCCCCCACCACCACCACCCTCCCACCCCTCTGCCCTCGAGTGGACTGGGGTATGGTTTGTGGTCTATTCGTGCATTAGGCTCCTGGAGGCTGCGAGGTCGTGCGGGAGGGGGCGCTGCAGCTGCACGTTGTCGTCAACGAACTCTATGGCGCTCCTTCGAGGTTGGTCAAAGCGTTTGAGTCGCTCATATCGGTTCAGGGTAGTTTTGAGGGGGGGGGGGGTTGGAACGTGCTGTGACCGTGGTTGTTGGTGGTTCAGGTTTGCTCAGGGTTGCCCCAGACAACATAAGCTATGGTTGTCGCTCAAACGGTTTGGACAAGCTGAAAAGGACTCTCCCATGGGAGAGTACCCTAGTGAGAAGTGGAAAAGGCAGAATTTTTGCGTTATCATGATTTGGCTTCTTTGTTGGCCTGCGAAAAAAATTCCTCACAATTGCGCGTCATTTTCTTCTCACTACAACGGAACGCAGCCACGATGTTTGCGAGGATTCTACAGTGCTTTGGAAACTAAAATAGCTTCCCGCTCCCTTGCAGCCGGTCTGCCGAGAACCGGGGTGCTCGGCTGTTAGGTGTGCACAAATTTGGTAGGGTAGTCCCAATCAAATTAGGAAGTTGCTGGTAACTTCTTCAGTGCAGTAACCCGAGAACTTGTATTTTATATTCTTTAACAGGGTAATCCATGGAATCCATGCCAATCCCATCGGTAATCCGATGCGCACAAGCTCACCTAGCTGGGCGCTCCCGGGGTGTGACTTCAAGGATGGAGAGCGTGGAGGAGGATGGTTTGGAGTGTCTAGCAGCTGCACCTGACACTTCTTTCTGACTGATCGACTTTCTTCAGTGCCCTAATTGATTTGAGAGCCAAAACTTTTAGCACGGTTTTTTTTGGATGCATAGAACTGGTTGACGGACGGTGCATTTAAAGTGTGCTTAACTTCGGGCGTACCCAGTTTCCCCCGTCATTTCTCACAAAAGCGTGCAAGTTTTGGGTGAGGTGCATGCATTGGCAAAACTTCCATTGAAACTGCTTGCTGTGTGGTTGTCAAAAATGTTCCCAAAATTTTCGCCCTCCAACCATTTTTTTTTTAAATTGATGCAGAAAGTTTAAAAGTGCGACCCCCATTGCTGACAGTGTATGGCCTACCTGCTGCTGGCGCTGAGGTGTGTGAGTGAGACACGAGGGGCGCGGCGCCGGGAGGTTAGGCAACACGTGCGACACCTAGCGCGATTCACCACCAACTGAACGACCCCCTGCCCGGCCTGGCCCGGCCAGCCAAGCCCAGCGG